ATGTGTGGGATATCATAGAGAAAGGCTATAATGAGCCTGCGGATGATGATGTTTTTGCTACTCTTACACCAGATCAAAAGACAACTTTGAAGGATTCAAGAAAGAGAGACAAGAAGGCTCTCTACCTCATCTATCAAGCATTAGATGATGATGGTTTTGAAAAGATTTCAAGTGCAAGCTCTAGCAAGGAAGCGTGGGAGAAGCTGCAAACCTCTTACAAAGGATCCGAGCAAGTGAAGAAGGTTCGTCTCCAAACATTAAGAGGTGAATTCGAATCCTTAAACATGAAAGCATCTGAGTCTATTTCAGATTATTTCTCAAGAGTAGTAGCTGTTTCTAATCAATTAAAAAGAAATGGTGAAAAGTTAGACGATGTGAGGATAATAGAGAAGATACTCCGTTCGTTGGATCCCAAATTTGAGCACATCGTCGTGACGATTGAAGAAACTAAAGACTTGGAAGAAATGAAGATCGAACAGCTCCAAGGATCATTGCAAGCATACGAAGAGAAGCATAAAAAGAAGCATGAGTTTACTGAACAACTCCTCAAGCTGCAACTCAAGGATATGCATGAGAGCCAACGCAATGATAGAAACCAACGTGGCCAAGGCAGAGGTAGAGGCCATGGACGAGGTGGAAGTCGAGGTCGTGGACGAGGCTGGAATTACAACAATAACAATTCCAACAACAACTATGAGAAAGGAGAAAGCTCAACACGAGGCCGTGGAAGAATTAATCCAAACTCAAAGTATGACAAATCTCAAATTCGATGTTATAATTGTCAAAAATTTGGGCATTATGCTTCAGAATGTAGAGCTCCCAACAACAAAATTGAGGAGAAGGCCAATTACGTGGAGGAAAAGACAGATGGCAAAGAAACTCTTCTTCTAGCACGAAAGGAAACTGATGGTGGCCAAGCAAAATCCTGGTATCTTGACAGTGGTGCAAGCAATCACATGTGTGGAAGGAAAGACATGTTTGTGGAGCTAGACGAGTCAGTAAGTGGAAATGTTTCATTTGGAGATGATTCCACAATAGCAGTGAAAGGGAGAGGTAACATTCTTATCCGTTTGAAAGATGGGAGACATCAATTTATTTCAAATGTCTACTATGTGCCCAATATGAAAAGTAACATTTTAAGTTTAGGGCAACTGGTAGAGAAAGGTTATGATATTCATATGAATAATTATAATCTTTCTATAAAAGATGATAAGAATAACTTCATTGCTAAAGTGCCGATGTCAAAGAATAGAATGTTCTTGATCAATATACAAATGATGTTGCAAAGTGCCTGAAAGCTTGCTACAAAGATGCATCATGGCTTTGGCATCTTCGATTTGGGCATCTCAATTTTGGAGGTCTAGAGCTATTATCTAAGAAGGAGATGGTGAAAGGACTACCTCACATCAACCAACCTGACCAACTCTGTGAAGGGTGTCTAGTCGGGAAACAATTCAGGAAAAGCTTTCCAAAGGAGTCAGAGACAAGAGCTAAGAAGCCACTTGAGCTCATCCATACCGATGTGTGTGGACCGATCAAGCCAAGTTCTCTCGGTAACAATAACTATTTTCTTCTCTTCATTGATGATTTTTCAAGAAAAACCTGGGTATATTTCTTGAAACAGAAGTCAGAAGTTTTTGAAGTATTCAAGAAGTTCAAAGCAGCAGTGGAGAGAGAAAGCGGTAGAAAGATCAAAGCCATGAGATCCGATCGAGGTGGAGAATTTACTTCCAGGGAGTTTCAAGAGTTCTGTGAAGCAAATGGAATTCGTCGACCAATGACAGTTCCTAGATCCCCCCAGCAAAATGGTGTGGCAGAAAGAAAGAATAGAACAATCCTAGACATGGCACGAAGCATGCTCAAAAGCAAGAAACTACCCAAAGAATTTTGGGCGGAAGCAGTATCGTGTGCAGTCTACTTGTCAAATCGATCTCCAACAAGAAGTGTATGGGGAAAGACACCGCAAGAGGCATGGAGTGGAAGAAAGCCTGGCATTTCCCACTTGAGAACCTTTGGAAGTATAGCCCATGTTCACGTACCAGACGAGAGAAGAACGAAGCTTGATGATAAAAGCGAGAGTTTTATCTTCATCGGATATGATGCTAATTCGAAGGGCTACAAGTTGTACAATCCAGACAATAAGAAGTTTGTGATTAGTCGAGATGTGGTCTTCAACGAAGAAGGAGAATGGGATTTTAACTCCCATACAGATGACTTCAATTTCTTTCCTCAGTTTGAAGAAGATGAGCAGACAATGAGGGAGCAACTAGATGAATCTCAACAAGAGCTTGCAACTCCACCCACTTCACCAACATCAACCACTCAAGGAGACTCATCACCTTCATCATCGTCAAGTGGGAGTCAAAGTGAAAGAGTTGTGCAACGAACAAGAAGCCTTAGAGATCTCTATGAGGTAACTGAACGACAAGATAATCTTACATTATTTTGTCTGTTTGCCGATTGTGAACCAGTGAGCTTTCAAGAAGCGGTACAAGAAAAGAAATGGAGAGATGCGATGGACGAAGAAATCAAGGCCATCGAGAAGAATGACACATGGGAACTTACCTCACTTCCCAAGGGACATAAGGCGATAGGTGTCAAATGGGTGTACAAAACAAAGCAAAACGCCAAAGGAGAGATTGAAAGGCACAAGGCGAGGCTAGTTGCTAAAGGCTATAGTCAAAAGGCTGGAATTGACTATGATGAGGTATTTGCTCCTGTTGCTCGATTGGAGACTATCAGACTAATCATTTCTTTGGCAGCTCAAAACAAGTGGAAGATACAACAGATGGATGTAAAGTCTGCCTTCCTAAATGGAGTTCTTGAAGAGGAACTTTACATTCAGCAACCATCAGGCTATGAAGTCAAAGGGCATGAAGACAAGGTGTTGAAGTTGAAGAAGGCTCTTTACGGGCTAAAACAAGCACCAAGGGCATGGAATAGCCGAATCGACAAGTACTTCCAAGAGAATGGCTTCAACAAATGTCCCTACGAGCATGCTCTATATATCAAGATCAAAGATGAAGATATTTTGATCGTGTGCCTCTACGTGGACGATTTGATCTTCACTGGAAGCAACCCAAGCATGTTTAATGAATTCAAGGATGTGATGATGAAAGAATTCGAGATGACAGACATGGGGCTCATGGCGTACTACCTTGGCATTGAAGTTAAGCAACAAAATGATGGAATTTTCATTTCACAGGAAAGCTATGCAAAGGAGATACTGAAGAAGTTCAAGATGGAGAACTGTAAGCCAATAAGCACACCGGCAGAATACGGGATCAAGATGACCAAACATGAAGAAGGCGAAAGTGTAGATCCAACATTCTTCAAAAGTTTGGTAGGAAGTCTACGCTATCTAACTTGCACGAGACCCGATATTCTTCACGCAGTTGGATTGGTTAGTCGCTATATGGAATCCCCAACAACCACCCATTTTAAAGCCGCAAAGAGAATTCTTCGCTATCTGAAAGGTACAATTGACTTTGGCTTGTTCTATTCAGTTTCTAATGATTACAAGCTTGTTGGATATAGCGACAGTGATTGGGGTGGAGACATAGATAATCGAAGGAGCACTACTGGATTCGTATTTTTCATGGGAGATATTGCATTCACATGGATGTCAAAGAAACAACCGATTGTCACATTATCCACTTGTGAAGCGGAATATGTTGCTGCTACCTCATGTGTTTGTCATGCAATTTGGCTTAGAAATCTATTGAAGGAGATTGGTTTGATACAAGAAGAGCCTACCAAGGTTTGTGTCGACAACAAGTCAGCCATTGCCTTAGCGAAGAATCCAGTATTCCATGATCGAAGCAAGCACATTGATATTCGCTACCACTATATAAGGGAGTGTGTTGCAAGAAAAGATGTGGAAGTTGAATATGTGAAGTCACAAGATCAAGTTGCTGATATTTTTACCAAGCCACTGACCAGCGAAGACTTCTTAAGATTAAGGAACCTACTAGGGGTCACGAGATCAAGTTTAAGGGAGGGTGTTGGATCATAAACTTGATCCATTATGGGAGCCTAAACCCAAACCCAAACTAAATTGATGTCATTACTTACATCATTTAATTAAAGATGTCATTGCTTACATCATTTAATTAATGATGTCATTGCTTACATCAATTTAGTTAGGTGAGAGTTAGATATTTGTTGAATTTGTAATGGTTTAAATTAGTTTATTTGTGTGGTGTAGGATTGTTCTTGAGTAGTATAAATACCCCTTCCCATTTTAGTTTTAAGCATAAAGAAAAATTAAGAGCTTCTAAGTGAGTGAAGAAGCAAAGTCTTATAAGAGTGAGTTGTAGTTCTTGTTTTCGAGTGAGAGTACTCTTGTAATATTTGTTTGAGTTTCAATAAAAGTTGTTTGTGTGAGCGTTTTATTTCCAACATGGGGTTCTTCAGTAAAAAAAGGGAATCTCTTGCTGGTTTTATTCATCTCTTTTTATGCTCCCCTCCCTTATCTACCTTACCTATACAAGTCACCTTACTATTATCGACTCCTATAAAGAACAGAGAAAAAGACAGCAACACGAACCCACTTAAGCGTGCCAAAAACAAAACAAGGGAAAAACTAAAGATAAGAACCCACCCCTCTTGCTGTCTGTATTGCTTAAAACACTCTTCTTTCGGGGTTCCTTTCTGTTGAAGGGTTTTCCATTTCCAAAGGTTTTCTTTTTCCTTCATTTTTTAAAGGTGTTTGTTTTAAGAAGCGGGACAGTTCTTGCGTTGTTAGCTAAGATCTTCAGAGTTGCTTCTTTCCGTACGTTGCTAATCCGAAGTTTTCTAGATTGATTGTCTTTATTGTTCTGAAATTTGGTCGAGTGACTCGGTTTAAGTTTGAAGGTTAGTTTCTGTCTGGATTTTCATTAGTAGTTATGTTCTTTACATTTGTTCCAGTATTTTTTTCTTTCTCTTTAGCTTCTAAATCTTTAACACATCTGTTTTTTTCCAGTTTGCTAGTTATTGCTCTTAAGAGAAAGGTGATATCTTTGTTTGTTGTGATGGAGAGCTCAAAGAATGGGGAAACATGTCCTCAACTTCTCCACTTGATACCTCAAGAAAGAGAGTGGCATTTGAAGAGAAAAGATGATGAAACTCGTCTTTCATCAGAAGAGAAGAAGCTGGAACTGAGGCTTGGTCCCCCAGGTGACGAAAATAACTGGTCCACCAAAAAAAACAGGGAAAGAGATGAGCATGTGATCTCACTCGGGTACTTGTCTTCAATGAACAGAAAACAAGCACATAAGTTTCCATCTCCAGAGGACCACAACCACCACCACCACCCGGTTGGGTCAGTTTTGTCCCCATCATGGACCAAAAACCACCATCAACAGCTGACAAACCCTCTATTTCTCCCGTTACCATCAACACCCCGACAGAGCTCGCCTGTTATGGCAAAGGAATCATCACAACCCTGCACTAAAGTGGTAAACATTCAGAATGCAGAGAAAAAACCATTTTCACCTACTGAAAATGCAGCTGGTTCTCCCAACACTTCTCAGAAAAGGTTCTCCAGCCTTTTATTACATCTCTCTCTCTCTCTCTCTCTCTCTCTCTCTATATATATATATATATATATATATCTTTAATATATGTGCTTACTTATATTTAAAAAAAAACTCTTGACAGAGGATATTCACTGACAAGTCACGAGATTAGCTTATTGATGTTTTGTAGTCCATGCATGCTTTGTTATTTTTTTTTTCTTAATCTTTTCATACATGTACATGTTTATTTTTGTTGTTTTAGTGCATAATTTTACTTTTCTTCAGCTGTTTTCAGATTTTTCAAAACATCATTTACTGTTATTGATCTGGCCATTCAGGATGCCTCTTAACATATTTTGGTAGTAAATGCATTACTGTCATTTTAGATGTACAAGTTTCCCATCTTATCTATTTATATTGATCTATTTTAGCCTCGGAAGTGATAACTTTTTTTTTTTGGGGGGGGGGGGTTCTAATTCTATGGCTATTATGGTAATGGAAAAACAGAACTGCTCCTGGTCCAGTAGTGGGTTGGCCTCCAATTCGCTCCTTTAGGAAAAATCTTGCAAGCAGCATCTCTTCAAAACCAGTTGCTGAACCACCACACAAGGCTGCTAATGAGAAAAAAGCTGCTGAACCGAATGCCAAATTTGTGAAAATCAACATGGATGGAGTTCCCATAGGAAGGAAAGTCGATCTCAAAGCTTATGACAGCTACGACAAACTGTCTGCAGCTGTTGATGAACTATTCAGAGGCCTCCTTGCGGGTAGATAAATTCTCAATGAATAATATATAGAACTCTATAGCTTATTGTAATATAGTTAATGCCATGTGTTTGTGTGTAGCTCAAAGAGATTCCTGTGGTGGTGGAAAAGTGAAGAAGGTGGAGGAGGAGAAAGCAATCACGGGTTTATTGGATGGAAGTGGGGAATATACACTTGTTTACGAGGATAACGAAGGAGACAGGATGCTTGTTGGGGATGTCCCGTGGCAGTAAGCATCTTGTCAAAGCATTAGAATGATAGAATCTTTTAATGTCTTAACAGTTGATGTATGTGTGTATGTTATAGATGTTGTGCTGAAGCTGAATTGGTTTTGCTTTTGCTTTTGCAGCATGTTTGTGTCAACGGTGCAGAGGCTGCGCGTGCTGAAGAGCTCGGAGCTTTCTGCCCTTAGCCGTGAGTGTTGATTTTCTTTTTTGTTTATTTTCTTTGCCGCTGCTCTCATTGACGGTGGTGCTTGTTCTTCACAGTGGGAAGCAGCTTGAAGATGAGGCTTTGAATTATGTTCTAATGTTTTGACATTTTGTTTCCCTGTAAGGCCTTGCACGCACTGTATATATCACTAGTTTTCTATGTAATTTTCTCTTATTGCTACATCAATGCCACTATCCTTTAGCTCTTTTTCTGTTCAAAAGGACCCACCCCAAAGCTCATTACGTCACTTTTGGTTTGGTCCCATGATTCTGTCACCATTGTTTCATCAACAGCCAAACCTGTCCAACACTTATAATTGACACCTTGGTTCATGCATTGTTTGCTTGTTTTTAGTTATCAAAGTCGAGCTTAATCAAACATCGAGGACAAAATATATTTTTCAAAACAAAAACAAGGTTGAAGGGTCATTATCATTAGGAGCTGCCTAACTTTGGGCCCAAAATTAGGACTTGTAACCTAATATAATTCCATTAGAAGAGAGTCGTCACCTGTAGGATCGTAAGAATGGGTCAAATGCACGTGCGGGGTCGCAGCCACATGTCGCGGCGCTTTGCCCTTAATACTTGGTTTGGTCGGTCATTAACACGTGTGCTTCTTTGACCAAGACAATGGACGGACATGTCTTTTAAATACTAATTTTTAATATAATTTTCCTTGCTGTGTAGCAAAACATTCAACTAACCCCGACCAGTTTGCGTTGTAAAAGAAATATCTTTCCTCTCTTGCAAAATGTCAAAAGTATAGGTGATATAAATTTGTCATTATAGTAAATTGATGTATTTTTATATCTATTTTAGTACGTCCAAAGTTTTATATTTAAAATATTTTCAACAACTATGAACTTCCGTTGATAGCAAATAGAAATGTGAATGTTATAATCGTATATTTTTAGTGAAATTTTGTGTTGTGTTTTAGCATGTCACGTAAGGTTAATACCTAACAAAGGAAATTAAGTATCAACTCAGTTTATTTAATACCAAAAAGAAAGGGAAATTAAGTGTCAATAATCATACTCGAGATTGCTATTAATTGGAGGGGTTTTTTTTTATATATAAAACGTAGATATTATATTTAAAGATTAATTGAAGTAAACTGCTAGAAAAGAACTAGAGTATCTCAAAGAAAATGATAATCAATCAAGTAAATCCTACGCAAAGCATAAAATTTATACTATTTATCATGTCAAACTTTCTTTTATACATGTAACAATCTCCTTTATAGAGCTCAAAACATCAAACTTCCCATTAGTTTTCTTCCTAAATATAATAGATAAAAACATTATATGCTAATTTGAGCAAGAGAACAAGGAGAAATTTACCCTTTAGATAGGCGATAGCCTACTCCAATTCTCCTTCTCATGAAAGTACCGCGAGGTTTAATCTACAAAGGTTCAAAATGTGTTTTCAAATTCCAGTCGGAAATGTGCACTCAAAGAATAAATGATTCCCTAATTCCGCTGCAACTCCGCACAACACACGAACCATTTCTAAGTAGTCGATCCTCAGTAGAGAGTCTATTTGGCTTCTTAAGGAGCTTCAGGAGGACAGAGACACCTCCACAAACTGGAATTTGATTGCTAAAGCCAGAACCCTCCCTAAGGTTAAAATTTTCGGTTGGAAGGTTTGCCACGCTGCTCTCCCGGTTGGTGCAAAGCTTGCTAGAGTGGGGATTGGTGATGGAACGCGTCCCATGTGTAACACAGAGCAAGAGACGATTTTTCTCGCACTGAAGGACTGCCCCAAGGCTAGAGAAATTCTTCATCTCTCTCAACTTGATCACCGACCTTTTGATGTGAGTTTTGCTTCTATTAAGGATTGGCTGGAAACCGCATAAAAAATCAAATCAATTTATACCACGACATCTTATCACTCTTTCTTTTAAGTTGAGATTACACGTCCCTAATACTTGCAATCTTCGAGATAGTAAATAGTATCCATACCTCAACAACAAGATCCTTTTTGGACTCTAACTCAACGAACCTTTTGTTCCAAAGGATTTTAAAAGCAACCTCTTTAATGGCATAAGCTCTAACCCAACCATCATCTATGGAGTTGATAACACGTGATTTGACATTTCCAACTATTTTTTAATAAGCAACGAATTAAATAAATATATCATATCATATATTTAATTAAATACCACATCATTTATTTAAGTGCCTTACTTATAAAATTAATAAATTTCCAACTATTACGAAAATGAATATTTTGCTGTTTTCTAAGGTACAATAATCATTGTGCTAATTTTTAATTTCCGCAGAATATATATAAGGGTAAATTATACAAAAAAAGTTATTGGATAATGCTTAAATGAACATTTTAGTCATTGAACTTTTAAAAATTATAAAATAGTCATTAATTTCATTAAATAGTTGCAAATTGGTCTCTACGATGTTATAAAAACTGTAAAAGTTTGATAAATTTAATGATCGTGTTATAACAATTCATTGAAATTTATAACCATTTTGTAACGGTTTGATAAGTTCAATGATTATTTTGTACTTTTTGAAAGTTCAATACTCAAAATAATCATTTGATCATAGTTCAATGACCCCAAGTGTACTTTACCCAAAAATCAAATAGTTGATGGAGTTCCACTTTGAGAATTAAAAATAACAGCAAAACGTGACAACCACCACACCATACATAGAACACAATAAAAGCAGGGGAAGGAAGAAGAAGAGCAGCATGAGGATGTCTTATCAAACCTTCCATATTCCATTCCTGCAGCGTTCCTTCAAAAGTAAGCACTCTCTTTGCTTTTGGTTTATAGCAATCATTGTGTATAACCGAAAATGAAAGCATTAATTCCCTTCAAATCCAAGTTTTTAAACCCATGCAAAAAACTTGTCCCAAACTTCAAGTTCAAGCTCAAAAGGCCAGTATTTATACGACCTCTTAGGTTTAGGCTTAGAAAAGCCCCTAAAACAGGTTTACGATCCATCTTCCGGTTTCTAAGGCCGCGGAGGAAGATGGATAAACTTGCAGAGCTTCGAAGCATTTCGGAGGCAGCCGGATGCGACAGGGATAGGTTGCTCTTCTCGTCGCCGCTTACACCTGCTAGCTATACCAAAGTCGGAGGAGGTTCCAGGAAGAGGGCATCATCTGACGTGGAAGATGCATGTAGGAGTTTCGAGAATTATTTAGTTGAGATGATTGTTGAGGAAGGGAAAGTAAGTGATTTGATGGATGTGGAGGAGCTGCTATATTGTTGGAAGAACTTGACCAGCCCTGTGTTCATAGATTTGGTTTCTCGATTCTATGGGGAGCTTTGCACCGATTTGTTCTCCGGAAACGAAGATGACGGTGATGACATTGCTGATACTCCCTAATCATTAGCAACTCTTCCTTTACTTTTAATTTCTCCTATACATGTTTACGTAACTGACCACCTTCCTCTCAACAAATTGCTATTCTTTATGTAATAAACTTGAGCAAGAGAACATATAGAGTGCAAAACACATTTGTCAAGTTTATTTTGAGCGGATTTTATAGTAGGCAATGTGTAGGAAGATGTTTGCAGGCACCGAACCGTATTTTATTATCACTAAACAAAATGTAGCAGAAATGGTTGCAGCTGAATATACTTGTTTGAATTCAGTTTCGAGAACAATTATTTTCAGGCCTAACAGTAACAGCAAGCAGTGTCGAGTACCAGAATAAAACAAAAATGGTAAATAGAATCAATTCACAAGCCAAACTGACGATTTCGCGCTTCCAAGTCCTGCATTTATACATTTAATCCGCCTCATTGAGTAATCTGCAACTGCAAGGAATTATTTAATGCCCTCGACTACCAGAGAAATTGTGGATAGAACCGCCTTGATTTCCACAAGTAACTTTAGAAGAATGGCAGAACCAGCTCCTTACTGCTCTCAGGACTCATATATTTCAAGATACTGTGAATGGGAAGCAGCAAGAAGAGCAGCTCCGATGCCAGAACCATCGTTTGAATGCTCAATCGTAATGGTTTGAGCCACCTCTTCTCCGAGCAATTCATTTAGAGTGTTCTCCAAGCAGTTGCGGTATTCCGAATAGTGCTCGTATAGTCCACCATCCATAGCTATCACTGTTTTCTGTTTCTCTCTATCCTTGATTGTGTCTCTCCCCATTTTCTTCAGAATCCCTAGTACCCCAGCAGCCGAAAGACGTGCACCACGTGTGGCAACAATGTTGCAAAGTTCAACAATTACCTTTCTCATCTTCAGGGAAGTATTTGATATCTGAAATACAAAGAATGATGTAAACAAGGTTTGCAAAAGACCACAAGTCCATGAAGAGAATCAGATTACCAGAGAAGTTCTATCGAGATACGAAGGACATGGACAAAGGATAAAAAGGAAGAAGCAAAATGACAGTTTTGCTGGTAAACAATAACATCTACAGAATTTTCACAAGGTTAAAGTATACCTCAAGAACATCTTTCAAATTACTGGCCACCATTTTGAGGTCAGGGGAAGTGTCCCGATGCATTGCTGACATGACAGGTGTCCTGCATGTCAACAAAGCTCAAACATCGGCACTCTTTAATATGATGCAAAAGGCACACCTTTAAGCATATAAAAAGGCATAAATATCTGATGAGTTTCTAAAATATAATAGGAACAAGTGAATGTGCTTCATTCCATGCAATGTAATCCGAAGCTGCTGAATTGAAAAAAAATTCCTTACAAAGGAAATGTAATTTGGGTAATACATGAACTCAAAGAAATAAAGCACAGAATCAGCAAAAAATTTGTCGTCTCTAACAAAGGAATACACCTTCATTTGATGATGTGCTCAAAACCTCAAATATACTGAATTAAAACTTAATGGTTCTTCAGTCACTTCAGAATACAAATTATTCATTCAAATTAAGTTCCTATTAGAATGACCTTTTCTAGTTATTGGCAGGACAAATGGAATGTTTGATACCGGTTTTCTCATTGCAAACATAGTGGAATGAAAATCACGAGTATCTTTACAGCATCGTAGGGAAAATTGTTTAACCAAATTTCAAAAAAGGTGAAAGTACAGATGAAAAATGACCTGAAATAAGACAACAAAAATCCCAAGCAAAGAAAAATTAAAAAGAAAAAAAGGTAGACACACCAGTAAACAGCCTAAGGAAATTATACCCCAATACAAATGGCTTTTTAAGTTTTGGTGGAACAGTGTCACCAAAAAATGCAGCTTCCTCAGCCATCCTACACAAAACTCTGCGAACAATCTCTCCCAAATACATACCAGATATTACCTTCTCATAAATCTGGGATAAATTAAAATAATATAAGATAAAAAAAATATTAGATTAAAAAATAAGGAAAAATCTAAAGGACCTAAAAAGCAAAAAAATTGAGTAATTACCTGTTCGCCAGGATTTAAACTTTCTGCATCTAGTTCATGGTCATACTCTGTTAATGGAAGATGCGACGACCTAAAGTTACCCCACTCCATATTTATAACCTTCAGCCAAATATCATCAGCAACTTTAGTATTCATCCTACACCTAATTAAACAGTTTTATTTCAAACTTACATGGATATCCTCTTTGACATTAATTGTGACAAAAAGAAAGAAAAAACAATTTCAAAGCGATAGGAATGTTACTAATGGCAATAAGAAAACAGCTAACCATCTCTCCCGATTTGGGTAGTAGACCATGCCACTTTGGTATGGCATGTACTCGTTCCACATATGCCGCATTTGATCCCGTACCAAGGATCACAGCAGCAACAACATTATTGTTGTGATGCCTTCCCCCGGCCAGTGTTCCAACAGTGTCATTAACCTGGTGTTAAAATGGTTTTGCTGTAAGACACTACGGAAAAGAATAGGAAAAGCAAGAAATGTATTCTATATCAAGTTCATATCTCAAATTAAAGTACATAAAGGTCACACAGCCATTGAAAAAGAAATCCTACAACATAAACCTACCAATGCCGCAATACGCATGTCAAGGCCCTGTCTTTCCAAGGCTTTGGACAATTCTGCTACAACATCTTGGTGAACCTGTTAAATTAAGCAGCCAAAAACAGTAAAAAGGCATAAGATGAGTATAGAAAGCAAATGTAATGAGAAGTTGCATTAATCAATTATATTAAGGAAACCAAAAGGCAGTAATGTTCATTCAAGTGGTATATATGGGGCAAATTTATTGGGGAAATGTCTACATCCCTCAAAATATAAGAACGATTACTGCAAGCATGAAAAAAAAGCTGAGAAATGAGTACTTACTGCGTCATCTATAGAGAAGCCTTTTGTCCACTTAAGAAGGGTTCCAGAAGCAATGGATGACTGCATCACAGGGAAGGAGAAGGTAAAACCAAGCTCCCTCTGCCTACCAGGATTTAGTTTAAACTCGGGGCCTTCTTGAGCTATGAATTTTGCAAGTGCTGCTGCAATATAGTCAAATAATGCCTGAAATCAACATCAACAGTCAGAAAATGCAGACCTTATTCCTCAACCAGTTTCCAGTTGTTCCTTGAAAAGCAGAAGCTCTTACATCTGAAGTCCCTGTCATTAAACTCGGAGGAATTGACACCTCCTCAAACTGTTGATTAACAATGCCTTTACGTTTCCCTCCCAATTGAACTCGTATCACACGGAAGTTAGTTCCACCAAGGTCCAATGCATAGAATAATCCCTTCTCATCTCTAATATTACAATTGTATAAGCTAAAATCTCTAATGAATGACTCAAAACATATCAGAATCAATAAAAAAAGGTATGCAAAAGTTTATGAACAAGTCACTCATTGGCCCCAGCCATGTAATTCCATTAAGGTCCAATGCATAAAATAACCCCTTCTCGTCCCTAATATTACAATCTATTCAAGGCAAACCCCCAATGAACCATCCAAACATACGAGAATCAATAAAGAAAAGCATGCAAAAAAGCATATCAACATGTCACTTATCCACCCCAAACCATAAAGAGAAAAATCTACGAGTGGATCAGATGGAACATAGATTTTTTGATGAGCACGTATGTAGAAACTATGACCTTGATCCAATAACATAAACAATCTCAGAAAATAGACAAGTTTGGTTTGGCATATAAACATAGATGCATATATTAACAATATAAGGCTAAGCATTGATCTCTAGTAATAAAATCCAAACAAAAGTTACCAAACAGATCAAGTAAATGCATAAGCAAAAGCAAACGAAATACCCAGTAGGCAAATTGTCAACATAGCTGATGAGCATCTTGAGTTTGCTGCCACCTTCAGAGGCAAGGCCAGCATGCATCTCCACAATCATGGCATCAGCCACTTGTCTCAGCCTCGGAATCGGAGTCCCACACTTTTCTTCAAACTCTTTCAATATCTCCATTGCTTTCACCCACATCCCTGACTTCTTCACTTTCCGATGAATGACTACCGCCGCAGCCGCTACCACCGCTATCCCACACACCACTGCCACCCTAACTGCCACCTTCCCCATTTTCCCACCGCAAAAATAAAGGTCTTTTTATATATATATATAATTTAAAAAGGAAAAAGAAGAAAAGATGAAGCAAAAATAAAAAGAAGCCTTTATTTGGAGATTTAAAAACAAATGGGAATTTGGGGTTGTGTGATTCAAATCAGTGAATGGTGGTTGAATCTAGATTGTAATTCTGTGCATAAAATAAAACCAGATTAAGAGTAAACAAAAAGCAAAGGTTTTTGGTTTGGGTTGGAGAGAGGGACTCTTTGAGTTTCAGGTGCCAAAAAATTTGGGAAACTGATGTAAATCCTTGGGGTTTGTTTTGGTTAATAACATTTAATTTATATTAAGTAGCTTGAACAACAATCGGTTCATGTGAGCTTAACTGCCAATCACACACTAAACTATCTTCCTATGACTTTGCTTTTAGTACTTTGTTTATTTGACGTGATTACAAAAAAATGTATATATCCTTCTCGAGTTTATTTGTTTTGTTTTTAAATTTATTTTGATTTTAAATTTAAATATATTTTATAATGTCTTTTTTTATATAAATATAGATAAATACGAGGTAAAATCTGTTTAAAGTTAACCATTTGATAATGAATACTCATACTCCTACATACATAGTACTCGAACTCAAAAACTTAAGCGATAATAATAAATCGCTTAAGACCACTTAATTCGTACTATAACTAATTATTTTAAGAATTATAATTCTACGATAATTACCAAAACTATATATCACTATGCATTTTGGTTTCTCATTGAATCAATATGACATCATACATTTTTGGTTTAATACATATTTTATTTCATGAACTATAAATAACTTTTAATTTGGTCCTTCAGAAAAATATTCAATCAATTTATCTTATGTATTTTTTATTGGCTTTTCAATTTTTTCTCTTATTTTCTTCATAAAATTAATATAAAAATTTGAACATGTGTTATATTATGATCATTTTAGAATTAAGATTATTTAAAATAATAATAAAAATAAAAATAGAAATTAAAGACTTAAAAAACTAAGCTTGTTTCTTTCTTAAAGCTCTGCCTCTCATCTCACTAGTCCCGATTCTTTTCTAACTTCTCATCACTCACTCTGCAAACAACAACTTCACTATATTCTAAAATGAATACTCTTTTTGTTACGAAATGTTTGGTGCTAAAATGGATTATATATTAAAATGTTTTCTTATAATGTGTTGATTTGTGTAAGAGTAAAACATAAACTAGAACCTATTGCTCAAGTCTTGGAGCATTACAGTTATCCTCCTGCAGTAAGGGAATTATCTCCGTAGGTGGTAGTGAGAACGAGTGGATGCCAAAGGTACTGTCTGTTAAGTAATCAATAACATGAATATCAAGAAAATATTATTGCTCTGCTCTTCTATTCATAGCTCTTACAACACTTATATAATACTCACTTACAACCATCTAACTACTTAGTTAACAACTAACAATCATCAGTTATAACAAACTATAACTGCTTACACATCATCATACTACAGCTGCACATATACTCCAGCAGCTCAACTACACTCAATATTCTCCCTACTTTTATCTTCTCCGCCAAGAAACGATTGAACACAAACCTTTGCTTGAAACACTTCAAACTGTGTTGTAGACAATGGCTTAGTCAGAACATCTTCTACTTGATGACTGGCTGGAACATAATTGACCACAATTTGTTGAGCAGCAACCTTATCTCTAACAAAATGAACATCTAGCTCAACATGCTTAGTCTTAGCATGATAGACTGGATTCGCAGTAACAGCCACTGAACTATTATTATCATACCATATGACCGATGTTTTGGACTGAACAATCCCCATATATGTGAGCAGGGCACTTATCCAAGTTGTTTCAACAGTAACATCGGCTACACTCCTATACTCAGCCTCCATGGTTAACCTAGAGACAACCTTATGTTTCTTAGAGCTCCACATGACCAAGTTTTCGCCAACAAAAACACAATTACCTCAAACAGACTTTCGATCATTTGTATTGCCAGCCCAATTTGCATCTGCAAAGGCCACAACATGCAGCCCTACCACAGACGGTGTTATAACTAAGCCATGATTAAGTGTGCCAACCAAATATCATAAAATACACTTGATTGCTACTAAATGGCCATGCCTAGGTGTATGCATATATTGTGCCACCTTGTTAACACTAAACGAGATATCAGGGCGTGTGTGAAAGGCATACAAAAGTGCTCCCACTATGCTGCGATACTCATATGCATCAGCCATCAAATCCCCAGCATCATCTTGTGTAAGCCTCGATGTAACTAGTATAGGCGTAGAGGCAGCTCCTGTATTATGCATGTTGGTCTTCATTAGCAGCTCCATGATGAACTTACGCTGACTAAGGATCAAAGTTTCACCAACACGATGAACCTCAATCCCAAGAAAGTAGTTTAGTTCTCCAAGATCTTTTAGTGCAAAATCTGCTCCCAAAAGCTTTACAATCTCTTCAATATGCTCGTTTGATTCTCCTGTAATTATTATATCATCTACGTAAACAAACATGTATACATAACTACCATGAACACATTTAACAAACAAAGAAGTGTCTGCTTTGGATTCCTTGAATCCAATACTGACTAAGCACTGCTTTAACTTATTGTGCCAACTCCGAGGTACCTGTCTCAGGCCATACAACGCTTTTTGGAGCTTGCATACTAGTGAAATACCATCAGCAGTTCTTTGTTCAAACACAGGCTGCTGCTGCATATATACATCCTCACTTAATTCTTCATGTAGGAAGGCATTGTTTACATCAATTTGCCGTAGTTGCCACCCCTTGGTCACTGCTAGAGCCAAAACGACATTCACCGTGGTAAATTTAACCACTGGACTGAATGTCTTAGTAAAATCGTGACATGGAAATTGAGAATACCCTTTGGCTACAATACGAGCCTTATACAGATCGATAGAGCTATCAGGGTTCTTCTTCAGTTTAAAGAGCCACTTACACCCTACTGCTGATCATCCTTCAGGCAGGGGCACGAGAGACCAAGTGCCATTCTTTTGCAAAGCTTCAAGCTCAACATACACAACGTTCTTCCAATGGGGTGATTGAAGAGCTTCATGAACATTAGCAGGCTCCATAGTAGCATAAGCAGCCGAGTATACTTTAGGTTTGTAAATTCCATGCTTACTTCTGGTCATCATGGTATGATAACTTACTACTGTCCCTTCAGCACCTTGCCCACTAAGTTCCTCGGGACTTTGTGCACTGGGTTCACCACCACTTTGTCCCCCAAGTTGGTCATGACTGTGTCTACTAAGCTCATCATTATCTTCACTGCTAGATTGCCCACCGTGCTCACTCATGTTTGCTGCCTCGTAACTTTCCACAGCAGCATCACTGGTAGTAGCAACATGACTTCCCACACTCAACGACGTCCGAGCATTCTTCTATATTGAGAGGAACACCTCCTGTTACTTCAGTTTCAACGTCACGTGGCTCAATATTACTTGTAGCACTTAATTTCCCAACATCAGTAATGATCTCAATGGCACCAGATTTTGAAGCAATAACTTTTGGTGTTATGCGAGATGTTGTACCACCTGCAAAAGGAAACACTGATTCATCAAATACAATATGCCGAGATATATAAATTTTTCCATTCTCGGCTAGGCACATGTAGCCCTTGTGTTGGGGACTGTAACCGATAAACTTGCATGGCTTAGACCTAAACTCCATCTTATGTTGTTGAAAAGCTCGCAGGTGTGGAAAACACTTGCAACCAAAGATTCTCATGAATCTATAATCTGGTTTCCTTCCCCACAACTTCTCGAGTGGAGACACCCCATTCAGAACATGTTTTGGAAGCCGATTAATTAGATACACTGCACTAACAGCAGCATAGTACCAATATTGTAACACCCCCAACCCGTATCAGACCAGAATACGAGTCTGAGGTGTCACATTGACTTTTCAAAACATTTACTTGTATAAAATAAGGAGTGATTTAAAACTTTTATAACATATAAATGACTATCTTACATCAAATACATTTACATTATTGTAAAAACCAATCAGAGCATGCATAATTCACTTATTCATCTACATATAACTTATTCAAAACGTTTACAAAACTATTAAGAGCTTATACAATATATTCTTTTGAATACATGTCAACTAGAACTTTATATACAAAAAGACATATTATTCACCTCTTTTCTGATATGACATTCGGTAAGGAGAACTGACCTGTCTTGCTTCACATTGCTCTTTACTCTTCTCGAAACCTACGTGTAAATCACTTACACGCTAAGTCTATGACTTAGTGAGACAAATAAACATATAATGTAAACTATAACTTGTAATCATGCATGAACAATTACTGCTACCGTAGCATACCCAAACATATATCTATTCATCCATCAAATCCATACATGCATATAATTATATTCATTCCTATCATTATAATTTTATTATCATTTATATTTATATTCTCTTGTTCATATGATTTATTATGTTCATATCATACATCTTATAACATATACAATAATCACTAACACACAGATATCCTGTCATATAGTTCATATCCCAAAACATACATATCCCATACATTGTATTCAATATCATCTCTTATTAGCCCATATACACATGTGAGAACTATAGATATGTGAGTCTATTGAGGTTGTGCACTATGCTGTCACCACAGCTCGTATAATTCCCACTAGGGGCGCGTAGAATTTTTCCCGAAGGACCACGTAGATGTCTCAAAGGACTACATATAACACATATGTCCTGAAGGACCACTATGTCCCGAAGGACCGCGTAGACCCTCGAATCTTGGCATGCCAACTATACCTCTAGCTCTCAATACACATAACATGGCATTTTCACTTATATCATTCCATATATACACTTTCATATCACATGTTCATATAAGCTCATAGCTTCTTTCACATATACATGTAGATATATAGCTTCTTTTCAGGTAATTTATATCACTTTTCATATAATTCATATGTTCACATATCTCTTTTCAT